GGGTGCGGCCCCCCCCCCTGGCCCCCCCCCGCCGGTGGAGGAGACGGCACGGCGCTGCACCTTCGGTCAGGACACTTATGGTGAAGGTGACCCAGCGAGATGCTCATGCCCTAACGGACCTTGCCGGCTCCCACTGGCTCCCTCGCAAGCGCCTGGCTTGGGAACGCACACCGAGCTTGTGCCCCGCTGCCGGCTGTTTTCCGCTGCATCAGCACTCAGGGCTTCGCTCACGGGAGAGCGCGGAGCTACAGCGCTTCACCTGAACCCTCGCTTCAGAGCGGGCGGACGGGAACAGAAACTGCAGAGGCCGAAGCAGCCCTGGCTGGGGGTGGCTGCAAGATAGGCATCTGGGCGGCGAGGAGCGCTCCGATCTGCCCTGCCGCGCTGCAGCCGCCGGTGCCGGGGTCTGCGGGTGCCGGGATAAGCCCTGCTCCGGTGCACGTGGGTGCTGCAGCTCCCTTGGGCAGATATCCTTCCTTCTGCTGCGGGAAGCGTCCCACAGACTCCGGAGCAGGTCCAGCCCTTGGGGAGGTGCAGCTGCAGGCTGGGGGCCCGCGGGGCGAAAAAAGTCAGACAGAGCCCGGGTGGCTCCTGCAATTCCCACGCAAGGATGCCGAGAGTTTCCAGTTGCTGCTCACCAGCCGGTGAAGGTTTTCTCTCCTGCAGTGCTTATTATTTGGGTAAATGCTCTCCTTTTACCATCAGCACGTTACCCTTTCCCCCCTGCATTTTCAGTTCCCGAGAGGATGGTCGGTCTTCCATGCAGCCCTGCTGTCCTGGGTATCACGGATCACCACCGGACTTCCCAGCTCTGTCTCCTCTGCCTCTCCCATACTCGGAAGGTCAAATCTTGAAGCACATGGAGGGATGTACGAATTACAAACAATAATCCCCTTTTGTGCATCATTGCATCAGCCTAGCCTTACTTGTGCAACCAAAGTTTCTGGTGGGTGACAAACTCCAGACAGACATCGTTTCATCACCCAGGCACAAGGCCAGCAGCCACCGAGCGGCATGCAGGACAGCCTTTCACAAGACCGAAGTGTCCTCAAACTCCAAAAAGGGCCAAAACTCTTCTCTCCGCTCAGGAATCAGGTCATTGGACGCTTTGTTTTGCTTCAGCGCGGTGGGATTTTGATCATCGCTGCTGGCGTAACTTTGTGCCGGTGACGTGGCGGTCACACAGCAGAAACCCTGAGGACAAGCGGGGCTGCTGGGACACTGCTTTGGCAGCGTGAAGCGAGGAGCTGCAGCACTTGTCCTCTCCAGCACCGGGAAGGGAAGAGGGCATTGCCATGGCAATGGGATTTGCTGGCTCGGCACATGGCATTCCTCACCACGGCAGCATCAGCGATGCTCCCGGGGTGCCAGGGTGATGGGGACAAGGAGGAGCTGGTGGTGCTGCAGTTACACGAAGCTGCTTTCTCTCATTTTGGGGGAAGAGATCTAGATTTAAGCTACAGAGGCAGCACGGCTTAAGAAACAGACGGTGATGCACAAGCAGGCGCGTGAACTACCCGGGAGGGAGGAGTTGAGAGCGCAAAGCCTGAAACGAGAGTTGAAAGCCACAGTTTGCACTGCTGGTTGCAACCCGTTTCCTCAAAATGTAGAGCAGGGCTTTGCAGCGAGAGCTGTGCCGGGAGATCAGAGAGATGGCGAGAGATAGCAGCTGGAGGTGGGGGAGAGGAAGGATGGTAAGGTGTCGCGCAGGGTCATGCCTCCCCGCCCCACAATTTGCGCTCGCTCTGTGCACGCAGGTGCTCCCCTCCCCGCAGAGCTGTGGGCTTAGGAGGGACTCGGGGCTGGAAAATGCCCCAAATGTCCTTTGCTCCTCTGACTCTCCCACGCCAGAGTCCTTCTTAATGGCACACGCAACGAGACTTGCTGTTTGTGGCAAGGGGGAGAAGCCAGGCTGCAGCACACGCAGTTACCCGCCGGGCACTCCTGCACGCTGGTAGCTAAAAAGCAAGGCGGCCACCTGCCCAGACCGACGGGTGGTGGACGGGGTCTCGTATCGGCCCCCAAACGCATGCCCAGACCCTGCTCGGCGCGGGCAGGGCGCTCTAGACGGCAGCAACGCGACCAACCAGCGGCCCAGATCTCGCACGGCGGGGACCGCAACGGCAGTAGCGATAATTACCAGAGCTCATCTCATTTGCAGGCACCACAGCAGACACACATCGGTCTACGGCAAGCTGAACCGTGGTCCAGCTGCTGCTCCAGCCACCCCCCTGCCCTGAGATGGGCATGAGCAACGTCCCGAGACCTTTCAGACTCAGAGCGCAAGGAGCCGGTGGGCAGGACAACTCCTGCAGCCATCAGCACGCTCGCCCGTTGGGTGCTGGTGGTATTTTTGGTGTTTACAGATGGGAGAGAAACAGTTCAACGGTTCTGCTGAAGCCCCTTCAGAGCAGGCGCAGCGAGATGGAAAGCATCTTGCATGAACGACTTCAAGAGGGGGTCCCGCAGGACCAGGCGCCGAAGGAGGCTCTGATTCATACCAGCAAATTTGGACCCTGAGATGTCACCTAAGCGGCTGGGTCACCAAAATGTCGCTGCCCGTGCCTGTTGCCCCCTTCCCCGCTCGACGTCTCAATGCTAAGCTCACTCTCGCGGCGCTGCCCAGCTCCATCCTCCCCCCAAAAAGGACATTTTGGTGGCTCACCGACAAGGAGGGGTTGCCCTCGTCCTCGACGGTGACCACCAGGCTGTAGAAACTCTGCTGCTCGCGGTCCGGTGGGGAAGGACGGGTGGCGATCTCACCGGTGACGCGGTCCATGCGGAAGGTCAGGTCCTCGTTCCCGCGGGTGATGTAGTAGGAGAGGACGCTGTTGAGGCCCACGTCTCGGTCGGTGGCGCATACCTGGGCCACCGCCGTGCCACCGCCGACGTTCTGCAGGGTAAGACGGCGGGGTGAGCGGCAGAGACATGCGACATAAGTCACAGGCACCTCGTGGCATATAAAATACGTAATTAATAATGTTAATAACATAATTCTAAACTAGAGTGGGGTTTTTCCAGGCATTGCAGTGCTTTAGGCTCCAAACTTTCGGTGGCGCGTACCTGGGCCACCGCCGTGCCACCGCCGACGTTCTGCAGGGTAAGACGGCGGGGTGAGCGGCAGAGACATGCGACATAAGTCACAGGCACCTCGTGGCATATAAAATACGTAATTAATAATGTTAATAACATAATTCTAAACTAGAGTGGGGTTTTTCCAGGCATTGCAGTGCTTTAGGCTCCAAACTTGCCGCCCCGACACCCAGCAGCCAAGCAGGAGGCTGCTCTCCTTCGCCAGCTCCTGGATGCCGTTTTTGCAGTGCTTATTGCAAACGATGTTTTGTTAATAGATGCATCTTCGTACAAAAAGTGAACGAAGGCTACTCGCCCTACCGCTCGCAGCTCAGCTGAGAATCAGCCACAGGCTTTGCAATGGAAGGCTCTGCCCTTTGCCTGAGTGCTCCGATCTTTTTTGGTTTGAACTCTGAAATTAAATGTGTTTCCTACGTCAGCTTTTAGAAAGAAATGGAATAAAGCTAACAGGCGACATTTGCTGTTAGGTTGCCAAAGCCAGCTGCCGCTGTGCGCCGAAATTGCACCTCTTTTTCCCCTATGTTACAGCATCTCCCGTTTGCTGCGATGAACCAGATTGACACCCTGCCGCAGAAAGCTGCGCGTTAGGTCCTTTCTAGGCTGGCACAGCCTGAAAGAG